AGCGTAGAAATCATTTTGTTTTGCAAAGGGAAGTTTTGCATTTGGTCACAGCTGCTGCTGTGTTACAATGACAGTTAGTTTCTGCTTACTAAGAAGGTGAGGAATGCAGAGACCATGTTACTTGTAATTATTTTTAGAGTAAGTGGAGATGCTCTCAACCTAAAAACTGTGGTGCAGAAGCTATAATGATGTGACCTGTCCTTAGAACTCTCAAGATTTTAAGGTACCGTCAATTCCAAGCATTTGGTAAAAGTCTTTGTGCACCAAGAATGAACTTACGCAAGGAACCCCATTCTCACACAATAGCCTGAACTTAATATCAAATCAGTTCAAACTTTCGCAGTATGAGACTGCTAGAAATTGCCCAGGCCTCTCAGAATCAGAGTTCTAAAGTGTATGCGAGTATTGCTTCACAGCTGTTTTGAATATGTTTGTACTTTTACTTTATAATTTTAAAGGCAACAACCACAGATCTCCTTCAAGAAGCAAAGCAGATGTAAGGCCTCCACTGCCAGTTCCTTGTAGACAGACGCTTCAACCACCGAACACAGAGGAAGATGAGGTACAAAGATTTCACAGATATTAACTATAAATGCCACACACAGCAAATAGTCTGATTTTTAGAGGAACTTTTCCAAAGACTTTTTTCTAATTACTGTTAGGATGTTGGTATTTGCTTTTGGTTTCCTTTTTTACATCAAGTTTTACTGCGTTTTTTTCTTCACCAAGGAAAAAGAAAACAGTAGAATAAAATAACTGTTTGTGTGTTGGAATACCTGTTCTGCACACTTGCCTTCAAGCATTAAGAACTTACTTTTCCTTCCACAAAAACTTGGTGACTAAAGAATTCAGACGCTAAGCGTAGTCCATTCTCCCATTTCTGCTCATACAGTCTGCACGTAGACTTTACATTCAAATTTCCCTCTACCTATTTGCATGTTGTCAACATTAGAAGCTAATTTACTGACAGCTGACTTTCTCCTTCCTCTTCTCCTGCAAAAACCACAGGACGCACTAAATGATCAATGGTACGTTGCTGATATTAGCCGGCCAGAAGCAGAGGCTGCTCTTCGCAAAATAAACAAGGTACTTCCAACGACTCTAACCTGACAGAGGGGTTACTGTCCATACTGAAACAGTGTAGACTGTTTCAGGACAGACTGAAAATGGTCCCCATAAGATTCTTCCACTAGCCATAATGACATGTCTTTCATTTTTTTTCATCTTTCAGGATGGAACTTTCTTGGTGAGAGACAGCTCAAGAAAAACTGTTACTCATCCATATGTACTGATGGTTTTATACAGAGATAAAGTATACAACATTCAGATTCGTTACCWGGAGGAAGATCACACATACTTGTTAGGAACCGGCTTAAAAGGAAAAGAGGTACTACTTGTTTTCTYGTATGATCTCCTTTCTTCTCAAGGAATCTCCAAACATCAGGCTACTTGACTTGGCAGCTCTGTTACTCTGGCAGAAGTCTATGTATCATTTTAGAACTATTCCTGATGCAAATACAACATTGCTGAGAGTAAAATCAGAGTCAAGTATTTACACTCAAGAAATCATGAGACAGCCTTAGCATACAGCTAGAATAAACCAATATAGCTGCTTAGGGAATGTACATTTATATCTACAATGGTAGATAAGGAAAACACACAGCTGAGGGCAAATCTGTATCTGCGAGCTCTACAGCTTTTATCCTGGGCTGCAGGTTTACTCACTAATTCTACATTGGATTTACTGGCATCAGACAGATCAGTCAGTACAGTCCTGTTGATCTGAGCTCAAATTTTCTGAACTTCTGAGATACCTTGTTGGACTTTCAAAAGCACAATGACCACATCAAGCAGAACAACATTACACAGCGAGCAGGCCAAGGCTGCATAGATTAATTGCACACCACATCCACAGGAGGTTCAACAACTCCTGCACACAGTTACAGAGCTCCATATTATGACAGGAATGAAAATAGCTGACCTAATGATATAAATTGGATCTTATAAGACTCCAAAATACTTAGAAAATGTTTGTTTAGGCTGCTCATTAATAATGATTCTGACACGTGGCTATTGCCTTCTCATTTTTCTATCCCACAGGATTTTTCTTCTGTAGCAGATATCATCGATTACTTCCAAAGAACACCCCTTCTACTGATTGACGGAAAAGACAGGGGTTCAAGAAACCAGTGCATGTTAAAATATGCTGCCGGATATAGGTAAAGGAAAGCCTAATGAAGGTCATGGACAGGATCAAACTCTACTGCAGTATTTCCCTTTTCACTGAACTCAGGTCATACAGAAGCAATTAAAAATCCTTTTAAGAAAAAAAGGACATTTTCCTCATTTTTAAAATGTGATTTAAATGCAATAAATCTGATCTTCCTACAGTGTATTTATTACTGTCCACTAATCATACACTACATGAGAACTCTTTCTATGAGAAAAACAGTCTTCCAACATCCATATCTCTTACCGAAAAGATTGCCATGTTAAGTCAGAGGACCCATGATGTACATAGCTGTTCAGGTCTCTTCTTTCTTGTGAAGAAAAATCATATGGCATTTTTCAGGTCTTAATTCCACTTGCAGTTACATCATATAAAATGATGTATAGTGGGCTCAAATCTTGTCGAAGTTGGGCCGTAYGAAAGACGACAAAGCTTTATTTTTCCACAGTTCACTTCTCAAGAAGTCCAGCCAATTCTATCAAAAGACTGGGACTCAAGTCTGACCCTGAAAACACTWAACTTTGAGGAATACAAAAAAATCATGAGGAATACAAAAAAAAGCCAGCTGTCAAGATTGGTGTACACGTTATTCATCTATTAAACAGTTGCTTATCACCTTTTTTGTTCCCTTTGAAAAACAGTGTGCTGTACGAAAGCTCATAGGGCCCCTCCACCATAGATACCATCTTCCATATGCTACACCATTTGCGAGTCACTGATGACATGTCCTACACCTCAAAATGGAAGCAATGGAGGCTTCTTTCTTACTCAGAAAGAAGCTTTTCTTCCTTACCACAGGCCTTTCTTTAGCTGTCTCTTCCTCTCTGAATTAAGTAACTCCCTTTTCACGGCAGACATCACCAGATCAGCAGCATGTGATTCTGAACTGGCCGACCAACGTTTCAGATAGCAGGCAGCCGCAAGCAGGATAAGCTGAGTTCCTCTTACAAAATTGCCTTCCGTTTATACTGCATTTTTTCAAGAAAAAGAATAATAATTTCAGTTCTAAAACGTAAGCTGCACCTAAAGACTACTGAAGAAAAATTACATAGAGAGTTTTTTCCCATTCCTCTGGAAGTGGGACTTTACAACTGTTTACCTAGGTTTTACTCTGACTTGTTTTCTAAGACCTTAGTTTGAGGCATAGCGTGGACCTCCTCACATTCCTTGAACTTTGTTTGTGTGTGTATCACCAYGTGAAACAGCTGAACCCCACCCAAGGCAATTCTCTTCTGTATAACTACCTTCTCAGAAAAGCTCATCATCCTAGAAGCTGGATTTAGAGCTAAATAATTTCATTATCATGTAGCTATGAACCCCTAACTCCAAAAAAAAAAAAACAGAATTGGGGAAAAAAAAAAAAAAAAAAAAAGCCTTCAGCCATTCAGTTGACAAAACTGATTTCTAGCACTATATATAACTAAATTTACTATTTAACTTCCAAAGCAAAACTCTTTCCTTTTCCAAAGAAAAAAAAAAAAAAAGAACAAGCATTCCATAGTTCCAATGATTATGTAGGCAGGAAGATTTTAATATTATACTATAATATCACCTGGAAAATTCTGGACACCCAGAAATGTCTTTTATGGGACTATTAGTGAAAGAATAACAAAATACAAACAAGCATAAGCAGCTACACTTTTTTTCCAGCAGAGCAAACCTGGTTTTAATTATTCAGAAAAATATATTTTATCTGAAGAAAAACATTCCTCAAACATTTTCACAAGGACCATATGTCTGCATTTTAACTGTATTAAAGTATATGAAAATGTTGGYTACCTACCCAAAGATTTCAAAATAAAACGCTCAAACCAGTATCTGTCCCTTTCTTTTCTAGCTAGATGCATTCAATGGACACTAAAATGAAAGCACTTTTGGCTTTCTAGAAGTTACCTGCTATTTAGCTCCCTTTCACAGATCATTTTTAGAATGAGGAAGGCACGTCAGTTGACAAGTCACAGTTTCTCTTTTGCTGTGGCTTTCCTTTCCCATTTCCCCTAGCAGAACTGAGATAAGAGATAGCAAGGACTTGCAATAATTTGAAGTTTTATTTTAATTTAACTAACTATAACATTTTTTCTCTTCTACATTACCAGATTGAAATAACATTATTTTAAGTGAGAAAAAAAGCATACTATCATTCTACAGTTCTAACTGCTGGACTATTAATGGAAGGAAATGTGTGAAAATGAAAAATATTACTTAATTCTTCAAACTCCCAGTATTTTTTCATCAGCTTCTCTTAAATCTTTGGCCTTCGTAGGACAGTTAAAATTAAAAATCAGGTCACAGAGCAGTAGCTGGCTTTCCACTGTAAGACAAAGGACAATGTATTGTCATGACATTTACTGAATGGGAAGTGAAGGGCAGTTTAATGCAGCACTTTTAAGTGTTCACCCCTCAACTCTGATAAACTAAAAAGATCATCTTGACTTGGTTTTATTCCACTTTACTCCAAGGCAGTTAAAGAAGGTTTAGCATTGGGGTAATAGCAGTACTTTCATGGGAGACTATTATGCTCCTATACAAGAACTACTTTAACAGAACTTTTTCCATGTTTAACTAATATGATTCCATATTTACGTAAATATTGTTTCATTAACTTTTCAGAACAAAAGAAAAGTTATTGTTCCACTATAATAAAAAAGCTCTGTAACAATGAAAACACAAGCCATTCACAAGAGCACATTCTTCCAAACACTGCCTCAGCATCTCCCTGCTAGCTGCGTAATGACCTCAGAATTACCATTTAATTTCTTCAGCTCATTGGACATTTTTTCAACATTTTTAATTGCAGCTTCAAGGTTAAACTCCTGATCAGCAGCATCATTTTTAAATACCTGCATGAAATAAAAGATAACTGGTACTGTACATGTGATTCTTACAACTCTGTAATAGTATTTTAGCTAAACCCCTCCCTGCCACTATTCTAACTGTCCACTTAGATATGGCAAATACTAAACACTCAGGCTTTACACACKGAATACTGAGTTAACATTCAGGTGCTTCCAGTTCCACTGGAATCCTCCCTTTTTTATATTACTAATAATTCCAATAAAATGAATTATAATTAAAATTGCCCTTCTCAACAGCTTTTTAAAAATTTTTGGCTTTGACTATTTTTTTCCCTAGGGAGCTAATATTTTGTTATTCTTCAGATCATAGATAGTCAGCCACAAGATGGAGCTAGTGTAAAGTTAACTTGCATAAAACAGACTCCAGTCACTTCTGGAGACCTTACTCTTTCCTTGATCAATCAAAACCAAAAACAAACAAACAAACACTACTGAAAATTAAAACTAGAAACTATCTGAAAGAATTAGCATTWGCATTGCTTTTATTTACACTATGTTCTTCAAATAGCTCAACTTTAAGAATTTTATTTAAAAAAAATAAAATTGCATATATTGTCTTTTTATTGCTATGGTTATCAGCCTTCTCTATATTAACCAGAAATTCCAAGCAAATATATTTGGAAAAACTCCGGGTAATTTCCGAAATTACTTGCAAATAGTGCTCACTAGGCATTATGGAGTATAACAATAAAATCTAACATACATTTAACACCAACTCTTTGTCCAAGTCCGTCTTTCCTTCAGATCCCAGCTTGTCATTAAGGTCCTCAGCCATGACCAAAGATCCTAAAAGAAAAAAAAAAAAAGAAAAAAAAAAGAAAAAAAAAAACCCCACCATTATCACAGTGGAGCAAATTAGCCTCTTTTGACTACAACTATTAAGTATATTTTAATGTGGGGCCAGACACAGTGAATGGTTGTGTTTATAATAGCTATAAATTTGGAGAAACAAACCAAACCAAATTCTAAAATACTACTTGCCCTTGATGGAAAGTTTTAACAGAGAGATAGCAGGGCCCTGCAAAACTGGTCACCATCCTCAGCATATGGAAGGCGAAACTAAAGCAGACACAAAAGGAAGATGCCAGGTGAGGGAAGCTTGCTGGGCAGTGACCTAGCTCAGCTCTGAACTTCGATGCTCACACAAGTTACATTTGCGGGAGCAGGAGGTAAAGAGCAGCCCCAAGCAGCACGAGAGCTGAAAAAAGAAATGGGGAAGACAGGCGTGAGGTGGCAGTGAAGGGTGGTCAGTGGTGACGGCCTCTGCTCTGTTGTGGCTTTGCTTGAGGAGCACTGAATGCTGCTGCGTGYTGCTGCAACTCATTTATAAAGTTATTTTTGTCACTTACAAAAACTCAGAGGCACTAACCATTCACTTATGGTGATTTGAGACCAAACAACACAGCTAACTTCAGCAAAGCCAGGCCAGCACGCTGCTCTACTGATGTGTCAGTGTTACCATAGCCAGTGACTGCTGCCCTTAGACACATCCCTCTGACAGCTGAAAGCAACGCAGAGCTGCTCAGAAAGGGCCTAGGATGGGAAGTGCTCAGCTCTGCAAAGCACAGACCATGTTGTGGGCTRCAGTAGTTAAAGCCAGGAACAAAATGAAGGAATGGCTGGCAGCACTACTGTCATTTACTGCAACCACTTTTCCTGCTGCTCAGGTTTTATCTTTGTCCAAGATAAAATTGGACAAAGTTAAAATCTTTGTCCTGCCTGGCAGCATCAAGTGATGGTCACTGGTAGGCCTGAGAGAGGTTGGTGGTACTGGGACATGGAGTGTCCTGCAGGTCACCTGGCTGCCATGTACTCCCTCTTCCGGGCCTAGCTCTGCCCATTCTCCCTCTCCAGGGTTTGCTCTCACAAAGCATTTTCTTTAAAGCAGCATGTTCTAAATGTCTTGTTTTGTTCTGCAGGTGAAGTTAAAATGCAATTCGATATGGCAGTTTCTGTTACAGAACAATATAGCTGTTATTCAAAGAGAAAGCACCACATGCTGCTGAGATAGAGAGRGCTTTCTGAAGATGAGAAACGTGCACCAGTTCCTGTACTGCAGCCTCTCAGTTTGCAAGGTCTCACAGAAGCCCTGCTGCAAGCAAGTGAGCTGGGCTCCTTTGCTACGTGCACAAGGAAAGYATCCTCTGTGCTTTGCAGAAGGTAGGGGCATGCAAAGAAAATACACAAGATATTTTAAAAATCTACTCTATATACACATATATAAGTATATATACAATTTTTATTAAGTGTGTATACAAATACATGCACAAAAAACTACAACGGTAGCCTAGCAAGTTCCTGGAAATGTTCATGTTAATATGAGCAGAAAATACATTCCTCAATAGGCTGTGAAGGAGGATGCAAGAACAGCTGCAAGGACTGGAGCTAGCAGAAAAAGCTATAATGAATAAATAGGTGCCCTCTTTACTGAAAAGACTGCTAGCAAGAAAAGGGTAGGACTCTTATATGGTAGTACAGAAGGGGAAATATATAGCTGACCACAAGCGAACTGCATTTTTGAGTAATAGGGGATTTTTGGAAACATGAGGGAGACGGTTGAAAACCAACCTGTGTTTAAAAGACCTGCATTTACTTTCTCATTTTTTTTYCAAGTTTTCTTCTTTTATATCACATACCTGTAACATGTCATATCATAAATGAATTCTACTATACTCACTATAGGAAGAAAAGCAGAATACTACAATCACTAGATAATGGGAGTTTGAAAACATAAAAAATGTACTGAGTTGCCTGGGTTAATAGGATGAACCAAGTAGAGTACCCTTTTAAAAATAATCTTTTGAGAAACTTACTTTAGTTAACCTAACACTAACATCTTGAGCAAGATGATTAGGAAACTGATATTAGAAGGCATTTTCTTATTAAGAAATTTCTTCAAGAAATGCTTCCTTACCTCARCAGGAAAATTACTTAGATGATATTGAGCAAAAATAAGAGAATTTAATATACAAGCAATTAATAACAGTATTTCAAAATTAAGGATATGYAAATTGATTTTTCTGTACAATCACAAACTAGGTATAAAAGCAAGAGAGAACATCATCTCATATAATACCTCATGGTTACAGAGTATTTTTAAAAGACCTTTCTAATGGGAAATAGAAGCTTACTTCAATATTTTAGTAAGTACACATAATAAACATCAGCAGTTCTGGTTAAAAAATAATCCTAATGGATCTTATAGCAGACTATGAGATTCAAAGCATGTTATTCAAAAAGCATGTTATTTCAAATAAATAAATAAACACYCCCCCACGGGCCATACTCATAGCATATAGATCTACACTTACACTTAGATCTAATGAAATGATAGACCTTCTCATAAGCGTTAGAGTACTTGTGGGATTTGCATAGATGAAACCTGGCAATTGCTGGAGGCAAAACCAGCCTAATCAGATCATGGTACAAAACAGTAAAGGAAAAGACTATTCAATTAGATAAGACAAAGAGAGACAAGTAAAAAGGAGTGAAGAGAAAATTGACTTGCTTTAACACATTATCACAAAGCAGGAGAAATAAAACCCGAGTTAAAATACACTTTTGTGACAGACTATCGGCTCGTGAAASTCCTTTGCATGAAGAGCTTTTCAGTGAATTTATTCAGAGAATTTATGTAATTCAATGAATTATATAACACATAATACAGTTGGTTGAGATTATTTTAATAATATTTGATTAAGATGACATTCAAAACTCTGAATTAGAAAATGAAAATTGTTACAGCATTTCACTGCAGCAATATAATTATGCCAAGGCTGCTCAAAGAAACCAATTATATKAAGTGTTCTCATATCTTTACAAAAACTATTTAGATATCACATCATCACATATCATTACCTTCCAGTTTAGATAGTAATTTTTTTTAAGGAGACCCCRAACAACAACAGATTATTCAAGGTAACACATGACCAGTCATTTCATTAGCTTCATGACACTGAGCAAAGCACCAATAAAATACACAGTGGCCTCTAAACAGAACGTGGAAATGACTCCACAGAGCAGTGTTTTTTTCTATTCCTTGATCAGTAAGYATTTTTCTGATCAGTTCTGCGGTTTTTAAGCTCACCACATGACTGGTTCAAAAATCTGAAATGTAATTTCCTTGTCTTTTGTATGTTTACATGGACAGATAAAATTAGAAATATTAAATCTCCCATATGCTGTCTTTTGCTTCTTTTTKTGAAAAACACTTTTAAACAATAAAGTAATATAAGCTTTGTGGGGGTACCCTGGAAGGACCCCCTTCACTTACCTGGTAAGATTTTAGTTTTTAAAGATACTTAGTGGTTTTAAGTTGAGTATTTAGGATACTAAGGAAATGAATATTCAATAATGGAAGAGAAATGCATGTATATTRCAAATACAAATTGGATTGTTAGAAGTTACTTGATAATAGGAATAACTTTGATGTGAAGCTTTTATACCAAGTTCTTTCATAGAGATCACTTGTGTTGTTTAAGTTTTTAGGAAAATAATAGGATTACAAACCTAACATTATTTAGGATTAGTGGCATATTTTGGTCAATTAATCATAAATATTATACTTAATGGACCTTTGGGGCCTTCACAAATTCCACTGCTTTCTTCATGCTCAATATACCATGGAAAGGGAGAACTTGAGAACTAGCGGCTCAGATTTTACCAACTTAAGCTGCAGCAGCAAGTCTGGGAAGCTAAAGCTGCTAAAACTTGTGAAGCATATTCATAGGACAGAGGCAGGAAGAAGTCTCAAAGCTTTTCTGCCCATTTTGCAACTTTCTACAAACACTTAGTTTGTAGAAAAACACCACATGCACTGTAAAGCTGTCAGTCACATATGGGGCTCTGACTATGAAGTTAGAGAGCAACTTGCATCAACTGGCAGTTTGTCTGGAAAACTCTTCAGAGGAAGGCAGAAAAAAGGATGACGATTGCAGTAGTAAGGTCCCAGGTAACAACCCTGTCATATTGTCACTGAAATCAAGAATAAATCTCTTAATACCAATGTAGAATTAAAAAGCAGGCACTGGATGCGTGGGGGATCACTCTACCTATCRTGCTTACTGTGTCGCTTTTGTCAAGGCTTATATCCCCCCGTTTGATACGTATGCATTAAAATTTCTCAAAATCATCATACCATTTCCTAGAATGAATTACAATATGCCCCTCTGTCACACGTATGCACCCTTCATCCTTTCAGTGGTTCCTGGTAGACTTTTGGGACCCCTGGGAGTCGTCTTTGGTGTCCTTTTGAAGAACTCTTGCAGCTTTCCTCCACATACGKCCTTGCTGTGGTGCAGGACTTCTGTTTCCTCTGCTACAGGTTGGTGCGCCTTGCAGTGCATCACTGCCATCTCTTTAGGCCTCTAACAATCCGCTTTCCTTCCAAATTGCCCCCGTATGCATGTATTACCCCACAGGTATATTCTGAGTCAATACACATAGTGGCTTGCTTTCCTTGTGGGAACTCCAGAGCCCATGTTAAAGCAAACAATTCAGCTTTCTGAATGGAGGTATTTACTGGCAATGGCTTTGCCTCTTCTAGTGATAACCACGTACCTGGCTTTTTTCCACAAAACTGCCTCCATCAATAAATAACTCCTGGCTAGGATTTTGTAAGGGAGTATCTCCCAGGTCTGAAATGCTGCAGTACCTCTGGCTGTCTAACCACATACATTTCAACAAGGCAATATTAGGCTTCATACCTTACCGCTGCTCAACTTCTTTTGCCAAAAAGAGTAGGGCTATTCTTAAACACTTGAGGTCCAGCACTACTTCATCTTGCA